CGGTTCTGGACGCGGTGTCGTCTTTCTCAGTTCCGGTGTGGCATCGGTAGCTTCCTGCCAGCCCTCGAAAAAGGCCCCGTCTTCCGTGTCCTCTAGGGCAGCAGCCTTTTCCGCAGCCGGCGTTTTCGGCGAGGTCAGACGCGTCTGCTGCTTTCCTATGCTGACTCCAATTGCTGACTGTGCTGTTTCGAGCCCGAACGCGCTTTCCTCCGGCGACTCGTCTTCGGAGGGTGTGAGGTCATCGTCGACGATAGAGGCGAATTGTATGTCGGCGAGGGCACTTTGGCGACGCTGGTGGTGGGTAGGAGCTATGGATGTCTCTGCCATGGCAGGCTAGCCGTAGGAATTGGTAGGTGTATGGGCTGCAGAAGTGGCCCGAAAGTTGGCGTTGTCGTGTTTACGGTACATGCTCCTCCCGCAGTGTGGCAGTGTCAGCTTTCCGCCCGCTGCCGAAAGCAGCGACATTCATGGCCGACCATCCCAGTCATCCGACCCAGCTTCATCTCGATATCAAGGACGGACGAGCGACGGTCTATTGTAGGCGACGACGGTGCAATGACGGCAAGCGCGACGCATATATTACCAAGGGCAAATGTCACGTCCAAGAGCGTGTCATGTCGATCGCGTCACGCCAGGCCACGCCCACGCGCCACGACGCCACGTTTCGTCCTTAGTCAGCCTTTCACATGACGAATCACCCCTCATCCTTTGCAAACCATCCCGAGGCAGCGGCTCACTATAGCACGCATTCGTTATCAGCAATCTCTATCTCCATCCTTCGTTATCGTCGTATATTGACACGCGAGCGGTTTTTCCAGTGCGATAGCTGTTGTTCTTCTGGGTCCGGACCTCGGGAAGATTGCACGCAAGATGTGGACCCTCTCACCTTACGAGATACCCACGGCATATTAGGCTCCGTGTGGTATCTCTTCACGACAAGTCAATGGCTATGCAGCTCCTTGCGAAACTGTCTTCAAAGATCTATGGAAATTCTTAGCATGCGGCTCCGCGTCCTCCCGCTGATGCATGCAATCTAGCCGTCCGAGCCCGAGGTCGGATCGCACTCAGGAACAAGTCAGCCGATCTCCATCAGACCACCCCGGCTGCTTCTTAGTAACGCAATCGCAAGTTTGCGGGCTTTGTTCGCCAATTGAGTAACTTAACCCTAGGTGGAGCAAAGACTGGGCCTCATAACCCTTTGTTAGCCGAGCTATACTCTCGCGCCGAATGATCATCCCTTCCCGTACGACCGACGACAGGGCGACAACGAATAACAGACGTCACACTGAACTAGCATCGAGCGCAGAGACGTTATGCTAACGCATCAGCATCAGCAGTTATGTCATGGTGCGATTGAAGACTGGGCCAAGTCCACATCGTCACAATATAACTTCACCGCTGGTCCTAGCCAGCGCTCGTATTTGACTGTCCTGCATCTCCTCATCCTGGTCTCATTTACACTCTTTCCCATCACCTCAAGATACCCAGCTTAGCCGCAATTCTCATACAGATCTGTCTCAAAAATGTCGATTCTACACCTCCCAGAACCACTGCCATCAACATCCATCGCGCTCGGTCAGATCACTACCAACCATTTAAGCGCCGCATCCGACTCCATCAAGCCCTCAGTATCTTCAGAGTTCACACAGAAAGTGACCCGCTCAAAACAAGAGGACGCTACATCTACATCGCACATCACCCTGACCGACCCATCACAAGTCTTCGACACCTTACGCAACGACACCAGCACACAAGACTTTCTCCGCAAGCTATCGCAACAAAACAAGCCCATCTACTTCGTCACCGGCCTCCAAACTTCCAAATCCCCAAGCCACAAGCGTGCGACCGTGTCACACGAGCCCATAACCGAGGCTACGGAAACCCCGCAAACGCAACAAGTCCAACTACCCTTCCGCCGGATAGACTCGGCATCCAACATGACCTCCCCTGGCGAAGAAGGTTCAGTCGTCGCAGTCGAGCTGCTTAAAGTAAAATGCCGCATTGGCGCTGTGAATGAACCACATTGTATTTCGGATGTGGACTATGTGTGGAGCTATCATGCGCTTGAGGGTGAGGACGAGGATTTGCAGTTGTCTATTGGGCTGGGGAAAGCGGTGGAGAAACAGGAGTGGAAGGAGTTGACGGGTAGGAAAGAAGAACGGGTGGAAAGAGACGCTGATCATAACTGGTCTTACGACTACGAAGACAGCGACGATGGTCTTGGTGGGTTCTGAGCGGGGACCTCTGTAAACAAAAATTACCAACTCAATACACCTCTGTGACCAAAACATTACCTTCCCATGACGTCAATCCGCAATCTTTACATCCATACAGTCAACAGTCCTCTCCTCAGTCCTCTCCAATATCCTCCACAATCGCAATACCGTAGACCTGCGTATACTCCGTCTTCGCATCCCTCTCTGCATCCACCTCGCTACTTCCATTCCTCACATTCCTCTGCGTCAGCAACTTGAGCATCACAGCTTGGCAGTGCTCAACATGCTTGGCCTTGAACACCTGCAACTCTCCATTTTTCTTCTTGTAGTCGCTGATCTGTGCCTTCATATCGCTGACAGTATTTTCCAGAGATGTCTTGGCTTCAGTCAATGCGCGGACCTGTTCCTCGAGCGCAGCACTATCCGGGGTGTCGGTGGCAGTAGTTAGGTTGATGAAGTCGAGCAGAGAGGTACGGTTGGACGGAGCGATCTTTTGTCTCTTGTGGGTAGCGGAAGAGGTGGGCGCTGGGGTGAACAACTCGCGCTTCGGTAAGGTGGGCCACGGACTGGATGCGCGGAGCTGGTAGCCCGACTCCATGATGTCGTCTTCGTCTTCGGATAGCTCGATGAGATCTTGGATGAGATCTTCTGTGGGCGATTCTACTTGTTGTTCGTCATTCTTGGGCTGGGTGTCTGTAGGTGCTTGTGTTTGGCCATGTGCTATAGCGCCTACAGCAGAAGCGTCTGCTGTACGGTACTGGCGGTATCGCGTCGGCAAAGCCTCTTCCCGGCCACCTGATTGGAGTGTTCGTCGCAGTCGCGCCCACGCCTTCTTGATCACTGCCGCCAGCTCTTTAGGCCGTGCGTCTACTCGAGTCTGAAAGCTCTCGTCGTCTTGGAGTCCAGCGTCGATGAGCGCAACACGTGCGCACGTGCTGATCCTAGCAAACCAGATTTTGCGTGTACCGACGTTTTCTTTACTCTCAGTGAGTAGCTGGAACGCAGGCGCAAACTCAATGGCGCCGTCTAGTGTTTCGGGCAGTTCGACTTCGAATAGGTTATCATCGAAGAAGCACATGCGCCACGGTCCTGACAGTGTTTGTATCTTTGCTGTGGGCTTGGGGCGGCGGAACGCTGCCCATACTGGTGTGTTTTCGGCGTCACGGAGATGACCTAACAGAACTTTGCCAGGGAATAAGACCAAGTGTTCCTTGCTGCTGGGATCTAACAAGGTGATTGCGCGTTCTGCATGGGCCGCCGTGGGACGCGTCTGGAACCAATGGTCGATGGGGATGTGGTCTCTCAGTACCTTGATGTAGTGTGTCACTGGGGTCTTCTGCGGTTGAGGCTTCGACATATCGAGTGCGATACTGTTCTTGGCCTCTGCAGTGCGCCTGGGGGCGGAAGCCGATGCAGAGGGAGCTGCTATTAGGCCCGCCGACGAGTAAATACTTGACCTGGCTGCTTGCGACATGTTGTTCAGACCCTTCTCGACATTCTTCCGTATCGATGTAAGTAGATCGGCGGGTATACCAGATACCGTGGCTTCCGAGTAGCCAGCCTCCAACATCACGATCTTGATCACTATCTTTAACCGCTCCTCCCAAGCTGCAGTACCAAGAGGACACGCATCGTCTGCGACAAGGCGACACCATGGTACGAACTGAGACTGCGCAAATGGTGTATGATCCGTATTGTCGCCGCCGCGGTTGTCCTCGTAGTGTACTTCCATCGTCGTCTTGTGATTACTCATTATCCTGCGCAGATAGCCCCACACGCGAGTACCATCGTTTGTACCGAGGAGGACTTTACCGGGGTAGAACGGACGTCCATAGTATATGTCCTGTTGTGATGCTTCCACTGTAGGATAGTAGTCGGTTGGGATCGCGTTGCGTAGCTTTGCGAGCACGGCCGGGTGCTTGTTTTGCTGGTCTTTGAGTACCGCTTTGTTGATGCGTACATCTTTAGTGGGCTGTTGTAACTGTTAGCCTCTATCAGCAGACACTGTATGTCGCGATGCGCTAGTCTGCGAACCTCTTGAATTGTGGGCGCCATGCGTGTAAGTTGCTCTATGTAGTAGTTAGTAACTGCTATCGCGTTACATCCTTGATGCTCCGCCTGTCTCTGTGGTTCACAGAGTACTTGAGCCTGTCCCGGTGTTGTTTTGCATCTGAGAAAAGAAGGAACTTACCTGGTCTGTAGGCTGTGTCAGTTGCTTGGACAGATATAGCGCTACACAGATGACTCTGTGTTATCGTGACAGTATATCCGGTCTGCTTGTGCGTGATCAAATTGGTAGCGTAGTCTCGATACAGTACCAATTGTAGGAGACGAGGGAGGGCGCACTGCGTGACTAACGTGGCTAGCGTCTACGGATCACCTAGGAGATCATAACAAACGAGCAATGTATTCACTGCAATGCGCAAATTATACTGAAAGAATGTTTTTCGGCTATACAAATGCCTAGACACAGCCTGCTCAGCTCTGAGGCACTCTAAAGAGGCCCTGCCAGGTGCTGCTGTAACTGTGGATAGAGAGGAAGTAGTAAATGCACACTTTTGGAAAGCAACCCGGAAAGGAAAAAAACATACAGATAACTCCATCGCCTGCTCATTATGCTGCAGAGACTGCATTCATAGCATCGGCTGTGTCAGGTATAGGCACATAGAGCCTGACTAACAGCCGAAGCGCTTCCAAGGACCACAACTTTTGCGCATAGTAAGCAAGAACCAAATGAGAGCAGCTTTATCAAGATCGCTAAGTTGTCGAAAATTCTTGACACACTCAAGCCATATCGCTCAGCGCTCTGCCTTCAACTTCGATACCGTAGGTCTCGACGTACTGGCTCTTAGCGTCTCGGCTTGCCGTTTCTGGATCGATTCCATCTTGATCACCAATGTCGAAAGCCATGACTTCGAGTAGAATGGGCTGAGCATGTTTTACATGCGCTTGTCTCAACTTTCTAAGACTGCCCATCTCCGCTTGTAGCTCCGCGCCGTCTCGCTCGAGTTTTGCTATCTTCTCATGGGCGACGGCTAACTCACTTCGCAGAGTCACGGCGCCAACAGTCTTCTCTTTGCATAGTTCTTGAAGCTGTTCGTTCTCTGTCTTTTGTCGCTCGGCGTCGGCTTCGAGAGTAGCACATCTCTTCTTGGAAGCGGCAAGCTCGTAAGATAGAGAGCCTGGCCCGGTCTCACGAGCCCTCCTGAGAAACTGTATCGACGGCGATATCTGATCGAGAGTTAGAGGAGTATCAGGAGTTGTTTAGTGACTTACCGAGCTTACGGTCGAAAATCCTCTGGGGGCTGGTGTCGTGGCCAACGAGACTGAGTCTCCAGCATCATCACCAGCTTCGTGATCAGAGGCCATACGACGCTTTTTGGGCCTCATGTCTGCAATCGGGATGCCTGGAGAACTGGAAGGAACACCAATGCTGGATGAAGGATTGACGTCGCTCGAAGCTTCTACATCAGCGGGTTTTGCGGTGCTGGTCTCAAGCTTCTCCCGGTTTTGACGGATGATCTCTGCGACTCGTGCTGGCTTTGCCTGGATTGAGAGCTCGTCCCCGTCAATCAGTCCCGCGTGGACGAGCGCTGCCCGTACACAAACGGCTACCAAAGCCCGCCAGGGATCGCGTGTGTGTTGCTTCGTTTCGCGTGCTTCAGGATCTCCAAGATATCGAAAAGGCTTGTCGAAATCTATCTTACTAACGAGATCTCCATCCCTCAAGTTTGCCGTTCGGCCATTGTTCCAGTAGCACAGAATGTGTCCAGACCTTTTGGCGGACACCTTCCCTTTGACTCTTGCCCACACTTCCTGTGGTGAACCGCTGGGCGATTTTGCAGATGGCAACGATCCAAGGTAGACTTTTCCGGGGTAGATCTTGCCGACGTTTTCATTGCAGACCTCGACACGTGGCCAGACTGTAGGCGGAAATGCTTCCTGCAGTTCTTGTATATGCGATGGCTGCATACCAGACTTCTTTGCAGAAGGCGCGTGAGCGGTACTGCTAGGTTCTGCGGGAGGCGCATCATCCTCGTTATCTCCATCCAGATAGTCGTCCTCAGAATCAGGTTCCATGATCTGTTCGACGAATGTCTCTAGGTCGTCTCCCTCCGACGGACGCTTGCCGTTGGCGTTTCGCATTGAAGAAGAACTGGCCTGATGGGTAGGCTTGCGCTTGTTGATGACACTGATAATTGTCGGCAAGTCTGGAAACGTATAATCTTTTGGGTTCAAGTATCCACTCCCAAGGAGAGCAATCTTTACGACCGTCTTGAGACGCCTCTCCCATTCGCCACCAGAAGAGCCTACAGGTGACTGGTCTGTAGCGATCATACAACACCATTGCTGGAACTCGACCTTGCGGAACTTGGGCTCGCCGATTCGGAGCTCCTCTTGGGTATTGTAGTAGAAACTGAGTACAGCACCTCCTCTGCAATCGATCTTCCAGAGATGTGCCCATAAGGCGCGTTCTTCCGCATTATCCTGTCCCTGGTCTTTTTCCGAGTAGACGTGGCCGATCAGTACCCTCCCGTGTTGAAGCTCTGCTTTGCCGAACGATACGTCTTCTGAGAGTGATGGGCGTACCTCCGGCCAGAGATTGTCGGGAAGGACCTCGCGAAGTGTTGTCAAGGCCTCATGCTGTACAGGGGATGTACTAGCCTTGTTGTTTGTGCCGATAGAATGAGAACTCGGCTTGCTGTCTGAGGCCACAGTAGGGTTTGCGGAGAGGTGCGAAGGGAGATGTGTCGGCTGGCGCCTGGCACGGGGTGAGTGATTTTGATTAGAGTGATGAGTCGAGTACGGCCGTAAGTTTAGCTGTAACATCTTCATGCAAGACTCGCCGAACTCGTGAGCAACTCGTCAGGTCCAGAGATTGGAGGTGACTAAGAGTACGAGAGTGGCAGAGATCAGGCGCGGCAGGATCGAATTGAGTAACGCAGAAGCAGGAGGGTGAGTCAATTAGAATGGACGGTGACCGCAAGTTTGAGTTTCGTTATCACAACAACGGGTGCCCGCGACTTTGGATTTAGTCACCTACAAACAATGGGTGACGGCAATCTGAGTGCCAAGAGAGGGCAATTGGGACATGGGGGCGCCATCGGACGCGTCAAGGCAGCCGTTCAGGCCTGACCGCCAGGAATACTGAGACATTGCAGTGATGCCGGATGTGAGTCAATACTGTGATAGGCTGAATGTGCTCGTGTATGAGACAAGTGATGGAGATGCAAACGACCTGGAGCGGGATACCTGTCGCGCTAACGAGTAGGCGCTAGCGCGAAAGACAGGCACTTCGGGCAGGCACACCACCAATGGACATCAACCCCCCCTCCACACCGCCGAATGACGTACGATACAGAACCGTCCTCACTATTGGACGTCGAACCTTTGGAACAAAATCCAGCTCGCCCTGACTACTGATAGCGCATCTGGCTCGCGTCTACAGTGCGCGAAGACGCGTCGCGCTGAACACCTACGTCGAAACGACCTGTCACGAACAGGACACAGCCTCTGATACGTCGCGATATCGGGCGGACACCGCAAGATTCATCCTGCGATAACAGGACCGCAATGGCGGGTCTACAACCATACATGGGGCATAACATGCGGAAACCTTGTGTCGGTTCGGCAGCCGACAGTGCAGCTGGACCAGAATGTCAGCTTCCGCGCAGGCTGGCCAGCGCAACCCGCCTAGAACAGGTTTCGGGGCATATAAAGAGCCATGTCGTTGGTCTTCTGGGTCGATGTTTCGGCTAGGCGCGTTGTACAGCCACTGTCGCTATAGGCTTCAGGAGCTTGCTCTCCTGCACAGGGTACGCACTACCGTAAAAACGACCTGCCGTTTGGCCTTGGTCTCCGCACATGCTAGAGTAGCAACGCGCCACTGTGGATTCTTTTGTAGTCCACAGTTGCCGCTGTCTTGTCATAGGGCATGGCACAGACTACACTCGGGCGGTTGTCTGATGGACACAACATGACAGACTTGCAAGCGGAGGGTAGAGGGCTTATCGCCGAATTCTGCTCTGAAGGCCTAGCACCAGAAATAGCAGAGATACCGATCATCTCGTAGATCGCACTCGCAGCCGTAGTACATGATGGCTTCGCAAGCGCGCAGACATACCCACGACATAATAATGACTTCCAGCAGAGCATCGATACCGCGTGTCTGGTCAAGTTACGGATAGCAGGATTTGGCGAGCGAAGAGGGAACGTTGTGATGATCACGGATGGAGCATTTGCAGGAGGCTACCTGATACATTCGTAATCGATATGAGAGAGAGAGCGCCCGCTACGAGGGCCTTTCGATCTCTGCCTGGCGTGCCTTCATACTATACATGCCCTCTGGGCTATGTGCAAATTATACTCGACCCCATCTCTTGCCCGCCTCATCATGCCCCGCTAATCATTTCTTTGATAGTGCGGTGTCTGAGACTTCGAACAGCTCCTTGTAGTCCGCAAGAGCTTTCTCTGCCGCCAGCAACTTGCGTTCCTTGTCGTCATGACCGCCTAGCTCTGCGTACCATTTGCTCTCGATAGCGTCCAGAATGATCGGCTTGCAGGCTTCGGCGGACTTCGCGTACTTCATGATGGTATCTTCATAGCTCTTGATCCTCGCCGCGAAGTGTTTCCACCGCCCCTTCAGCTCCTTCAGCAGCTCGCTGTCAGACTTGGACTTCTCGACGTCCTGACGAAGGCTGGCGTTTTCCTCTTCTTGTCGCGCGAACTTCTTTCGCAAGTCCTCCAGCTCAGAGACCTCGTCTTCGCCTCGTTTACGCTTGTGACTGAGCAGAGCATGTACCTGGGATGGGCTTAGCATCATAAAATGGATGGTCATGAAGACATGATGCTCACGTAGCTGTTCCTTGCCTTGTCCAAGGTCTCTTTCTCCGGCTCTTTAATCGCGCTCGCCATGCTCGCCGATGCCTGTACCTTAGAACCCTTGTCACCATCTTGACCTTCAGAAACTGCGTCGCCGCTGTCCATAATAGTCGCTGTTGTTGCTGGTGTGCTCGAAGTAGCCCGGTGCTTCAGCTTTACGATGAGCTGAGGCGCTGCTACGTGATCTGGATCTTCGGTATCTGGTTGCTCGCTCGAGCGATCGGTCGACTTGGTGGTGATCGGAGATACGAGCATCGCCACTCTAGAGGTTCCAGATATGTCAGTGTTGTATTGCCAAAAGGTTACGGGTGACTTTACTGTGCTTGGTGAAGGACAGGTTCAGAGTTTGCGCGAGGCTCTGACGGTGGTGCCTTCGCTCTCTCAGTGAGCTCCCGAGGAACGCTTGCACGCTGGACAACGGTGTTAAGTCTCAAGCCCGCGATTGGCATCATAGTAGCAGTGTATCGAAGGCTCTCAGGCAGCCGGGTTTGAGGTTATAAGAACGATTCAACACAGAAAGCAAGAGAGATCGAGGTTGAGTCAGAGGTGAGGGTGAGGAGGCGTTTGTCCCCAACCTCGAGTCCGTGCAGAAAGTAAAAGATAGCTTGCTCGGCTCGAGTAGGCAGCAGTACCTGCGTAGCCGCAGTAGGAAGGATGGTTGCTTGTTCACAAAACACACACAGTCTTCACTTCTCCTTCTCTTTGATAAGGCCTATCCTTGAAAACTTCTCAATGATCCTTCGGTGGCTCGATATCACATCTAGAACTGTGTCTCGCTACTTCGTTACGTTGACTTGAAAAGCCAAGTGCTCCGCGTATTAGTGCTTTCTTTACTTGCATCGGTTGACATGTTTCAAATGCGCCACTTGTAGTCGATGACTATCATGTTTCAGCATCAGGATTTTGCTACCTAAACCTTATAGAGAAACTGTTTCCTCCATTCGTGCCCGTCACTGTTATCGTGGAACTTTCTTGTTTTGTATGTTTCTTCTTGTTCTTATGATCGTGGTTCGCTTTTTTCAGCCTCTTCTCCATCCAGTCTGATAGGAATTTGCTGGCTTCCCATTCCGACTCCTTAGTCTCGGTAACGACGATGGATGGACCCAAATCTTTGTCGACGTGTTCCTCGGTAATCCTCGCTTCCCAGTCCGTCAGGTCGTGAGCGTCTACGAACATTTTATAGTGGATTCTAGTCAAAGTTGTCACCAGGTCCCGTTTCTTCGAAGCCTCCTCCATCATGATTATGGCAGTGAGCGCCCTGATCAACCCTTCCATAGCATCGACCTCGGTCTCAGCTTCGATCTCTCTATGTTCCACGATAACTTTGCCGTCTGAGTCGACTACTTTCATGATGAAGACTTCACTACAGTCGCTCCTCCGTTGTATATAGACTGTAGGGGCGGTAGGGGGTGATTTGAGCTTCCGGACAAGATCTGTCGCGTGTCAGCTGTACGTCTTGCATATTGGCCTATTAAGTCTACCGTGTATGGTTCCCGATTCCTCGGGGTATCTTTTACTCAGCAAGGGTGGTTCAAATTGCAACCAGTCGCGAGTCCGCTTCCGTGGGTCCATACCGATGACTCGAGAGGCATATGCCCACCAGAGACTTATCGCAAGAGGTGCTCGCGGCGTCGAACTACCAAAGTGGAAAGTATATCAGGATTTTAGGGCTTTTCTTCAGACGCTGGAGTCGGTGTCTCAGTTCGTGAAGTGCATTTCCTGCAGACTTAAATACTCTGATGATGACTCCGGTATCAAGTCATTTCTGGAGACAATCACACATGAGGACGAGCATCCTGGAACTTACAGTCATTATGAGCGCTGTGTCGTTCACCTTTTAGTTTATGATTACTTCCCGCGTGCATTTTCGCTCCCTCCCAATAATCTTCCTCTGTAAATCCATTTTGCACTTTTGCACCTTTTAACACCACGGTTCACGGGGAGTTGTATGCTGTGTCGACACGCACTTCAGGCTCGAACCGTCAAATAAGAAGATGGATTTCTGCAGGACAGACTGTGTGTGCCAAACTATCGTACGTCGTTGCTGCCAGACAGGTGGCACAAGGCCATGCGTCACATGACTCCACGGTGACTGCTCCTGCACAGGTGTTAATGACTCAGTCATCTCCAGAGGTGAGTAACAACGCAAGTCTGACCGACACCTCCTCCAAGTACTGATGTTCTTCACACCCGCCGACATGCTATGTGCATTTCAACGTCGCGCCAGGTAGCTCTTACCCCATACGAAGGTCCCACAATCATACCTTCCGAGCGGCCCGAGCGGACAGGTTGCATGCGACAAGCTTCCCAAGCTTTTTCACGCAATCTCGCCATCCGCGATGCGAGCAACAGAGGGGTCGAAAGAAGAAAATACTGGAGTTAGGATCTGGGTGACTGACGCAAAGTCACAAACTCAGCCGCACCTTCCGTTAACGTTGGGCTTCTTCCTGACAGGCCGGACCCCTCACGATGCAACCTCGCCACACCTTCAGCTCGCCGCCGATGTCCCAAAATAACCACGCAACGACCGCCACGCACCCAATCCGTCGGAGCGATGATTCTTAAGCTTCTACGGCCATCGACCGGCGCGAGATCTATGCGCTCATAGCTCGTGCGAAGAGGTAAAGCGCCCGCATCTGGGCGATGGTTTAGGCCTGCGCACGCTCCACCCCGTAAACGGCGTCATACCTCTTCGTGTTCGGTGATGTCGGCTCCAGCTTCACGCTGCAAATTTGCTTAGCATGGTGGTACTTGTACATCACCGTGCTTTAGAGCTCGAGGCTAGGGTAAGCGTACTTGCTAGGAGCTGAGGGTGAGATGAGATGCTTAAAGTCAGCCTTCGGCCTTGTCACGGCAGGAGCTATAGCCTCGAAACATAGGACAAACAACACCTCCGAAATCAAAGAGAAGGCATCATGGTAGCAACTCATATGTTGAAGGTCTTGTTACCGGTCGCTGCGTTCGCGAGCTATGCTGCGGCAGAGCAATGCGCTGGTGGTGAATGGGATGTCATTGTCGTTGGTAAGCTCGATCATCTGCATCCAAAATTTGGCATCAAGACTGACGTCCTCCAGGTTCTGGTCCAGCGGGTATCGTTACAGCGGACCGCATGAGCGAAGCCGGCAAGAAGACTCTACTTCTAGAGCAAGGCGGCCCGTCGTACTACGTGACCGGCGGTCGTGCTCGCCCAGAATGGCTAAACGGAACTGAACTCAGCCGTGTCGATGTTCCCGGGCTGTACAAATCCATCTTCTCGAATTCCGGTGAAGGAAACTTGACATGCGCGTCTGATGTCGTCAACGCGTTTCAAGGGTGCACCGTCGGTGGTAACTCCGCAATCAACGCTGGGCTGTTCTTCCAGCCACCCGCGAGCGATTGGGATCGCTACTTCCCCCAGGGCTGGAAGAATGACGACATGCAATGCGCAATCAACAAGGTCAGAGCGAAACAGCCAAACACAGACAGCCCTTCAAGAGACGGCAAGCGGTATCTGCAGAGTGGTTACGATGCTGCGAAGCAGTGGCTCGTTGATGGTGCGGGTTTCGCAGAGGTCGGCCTGAACGATGGCATCGAGAATCACAACAAGACCAAGGTGTTTGGCCACCCGATCTGGTACTACGAGAACGGGCAAAGGAGTGGTCCGGTCCAGACCTACCTGCAGTCCGCCTTGGCGCGCTCGAACTTTGCCTTCCAAACCGGCACTAAAGTCTTGCGTGTTCGTCGAGAGGGCGGCGTAGCGACTGGCGTCGACGTTCAGACCAACGGAGCAGAGAAATCTTCCAGCATCTGCATCAAAGAAGGCGGTATGGTCATCTCTTCAGCTGGTGCCCTCCTCAGCCCCCAGCTGCTGATGTGGTCTGGCATCGGTGAGGCAGCGACATTGACAAATCTCTCGAAGAACGGTCATGTCACTGTTCCTTCTCAAGACTGGATCAACAACACCGCTGTCGGCAACGGTGTCTTCGATAACCCGAACACCTTTATCGAGCTTCAATCTGACGAGATTGCCTCGTACGCTTACGACTACTCCAACCCGCCGCAAGCCGACGTCGATCTATACCTCAACGAACGGTCTGGACCTTATACGTTCGCTTCCCAAACAAGCGCTTTCTGGGACTACATCCAGCAAGGCGATGATGTAGTGGGCTGCCAGGGCACCATCGACTCTGCCGGAGCAATGGGCCTCACGCAGAACGGAACCATCACACTCAACGTCTACGGAACTTCTGGTCTCCGATCCGTCGGGCGTGTAAACCTCGACGCGAGAGGTATCGCTCTTCCCTCATCAAACTTCTACGCCGACCCCCGCGATGCGACCGCTATTGCGACGTTTGTCTACAACATCTTCCAAGCTCTGCCAGATACCCTCAACCCGCTCAACGTTGCAAAGAACTCGACGATCGAGCAGATTGCGACTTATCTGACCACGCCAAGCGCGTTCACACTCGGCAACGTGCAACATTGGAGCAGCAGTTGCAGGATGGAGGCCTGCATTGACACGGATACGAAGGTGGTCGGGATGCAGAACTTGTTCGTCATTGATGCGAGTATCGTGCCGCCTCTGACTACGAACCCGGTTATGGGTGTCATGATTGCGGCGGAGAGGGCTGTTGAGAGGATATTAGGGTTGAGTAAGTAAACGCATAGGGTATAGAGTTAGTTAATTTACGAATTTCATTTCACCTTCATACAACGCGTTTCCTTCCATGATAACTGCCGAATAGCTATGTCCGGTAACTCCTTGCATACCGCCGTGATCCTAGTTTGCATCCTGTGCCATACCGAGTGGGGGCCTAAGTTACGTCATACAACATCTAGTTCTGCAGTACTACATACGCTGCCATTACAAGTATCCTTCTCGAGAACTGAACGAATACTCCGACGTCTGCTATTTCGCATCACACTTGAATCCAGCAAACCCCATCATGTCCAAAGACTTCGGTGAGAAGCGCGCCTCCAATGGTACTAGACCTTCCCTCGAGCCTTTCCCCATCGCCGGTACGCATCTAACACACATCTGCTAGGCCTGAATTTCGTCGCCACAGACCGTCACGACACCTACTCATACATCTCACCATCCAACTTCAATCTCCAAGGAAAGCACGTCTTGATCACCGGTGCCTCAAAAGGCGTCGGCCGTGCCACAGCCCTAAGTTACGCAAAAGCAGGTGCCTCGGGCATAATACTCGGCGCACGATCCGACCTCTCCACCGTGGTCAAAGACGTCCAAGCTGCAGCCAAATCTGCAGGCCGTCCTGAACCGCAAGTCCTAGCACTAGACCTCGATGTCACCAGCAAAGACAGCGTAGACGCTGCTGCTAAGCTCGTCACCGAGAAGTTCGATGGAAAACTCGACGTCTTGATCAACAACGCTGGAAGTCTTGCCTCTTTCGCTGGCATCCCAGACACCGACCCGGATGAATGGTGGCGCGACTACGAAGTCAGCGTAAAAGGAAGCTACCTCGTAACCCGCGCATTCTGGCCGCACCTCCTCGCCGGCTCCAAGATAATCATCAATATCACATCCATCGGCGCCGTGATGGTCGTTCCGCAGAGCTCTTCGTACGGGCCAGCTAAACTGGCTTCACTCCGGTTGACCGAGTTCATTGACCGGGACCACGGAGAGGGTAAGGATGGTATGCTGGCTATGGCCGTGCATCCGGGAGGCATACAGACGGAGTTGGCGCTGGGTATGCCGGGACATATGCACGAGTGGCTTGTTGATACGCCTGAGTTGGCGGGCGATACGTTGATGTGGTTGGGGGCGCAGAGGAGGGAGTGGCTCGGTGGGAGGTATGTTAGTGCGTGTTGGGATATGGAGGAGTTTAGTGGGAAGAGGGAGGAGATTCTGGAGAAGGATTTGTTGAAGATGAGGTTGGCGGTTGGTCCGTAGATGGCAGGATATGGGGGAAGTTCGGTTGCAGATGTGTTCCTCTTATTGTGTATCGATGTGACTATGTGCCAGATTGGCTTTCTCTCTTGCTCTCAGATTCCTTGCTGTTGTAGTCTGCCATCGTGAACAATGAGCACCGTAGGAAAGGTCTCATAACCTGATACCAGTAAGGTAGGTACAGCGAACCGAGGTGTGGGACCGCGAAAAAAAGTTTTGAATCTTCATCGTTCCTTCCTCTCTCGAACATGTACAACGACGCCTGGTGGTTACAGCAGCAGCGTTCCAGTAGATTACTACGTACAAGCGGCACAATGTAGCAAGCCGCGGTGTCGAGCGGTTTTGTTTGGCGCAGACCTTGTTAGATTGCGAAATGCAGCCACTATATGTCGTGCTTTTAGCTGCATGAGTAGCTGTGGCTCAGAGCCGTCAGAAAGATAGGCCTAAAGGCGCGCAATAATAGCATCCAACGATAATGCGCGCGATGCGCAAACGACACTGAAAAGGGAGAGAGTTTGGCGAGGAACCGTCGGGACCTCGGGCTTAGCCATGCTAGTGAGGGGCACGGCACTCCCCACCACGACACCTTCCGTCCACCAATCCCGCCAGTGACATCATGCATGCTGCTAGAAAACACCATGCGAACCCTTTTGGCCAATTCCACCCTGGCATCGGGACAGGG